GAATTCATGGCAAAAACTGCGGCGTCGTGCCAAGCATTGTGGCTGAGAAATTTGTTGAGTAAAGTGACTAGAAGTGAACTAAAGCGGGTAACTCTCTACGTAGACAAAAATGAAGAATCTGGTATTTCAAGGATGCAGCAAACACATTGACACTTGCTTCCACTTCATCCATAAGTGTGTTGAGAAGAGACAAATCATTGTGGACTTCATATGCACTAGAGAACAACGTGCAGATATTCTAACCAAGGCTCTAGCCAGGGTTAAGTTTGCAGAGATGCAGGAACTACTGAAAGTGAAGAATCTTTAACAAAGTCAAGTTTACAGAGGAGATTGTGAACTTATAAACTTGACTTAGTAGAACAAGTCACTAACTATTGGAGTAACTTGAGGAGAGTGGTTAGTAGACTTAGTAGAATAAGTTACTCACTTATGGACAATAGTGGATAATATAGGAGAATTATTAGTAGTTACCAAATTGTGGAACAAATTTTGTGGTTGTGGACCAAGTTTTATGATTTAATTAAGAAGATTGTTAAAGGTTCTTAACTTGAAGAAAAAGTTGAAGCAAATTAGTGTTTTCTCTCCTATAAATACTCATAAGATGTATGTTTTTTCACAACAGCAACAAAGAGAATTGAAAAGCTAAAGTGCTTTAAGGTTCCTTGTTTCAAAAGATCTCTCTCCTCAAATGATTCTTTTACTCCTCTATTTGTTTTTATTTGTTTTGACATATTTCGTTAGGCCATTTCCAACATTGTTGTGGACCCAACAAAGGTGGAGGGAGTTTAGGTTGGGCTTGACCAACAATAGAGGTGAGAAGTTTTCTCAGTTTAGTAGGATATTATAGGCGATTTATTAAAGACCTAGTGAAAATTGTGACGTCAATGACTCAGCTAACTAGAAAAGGAAAGACATTAGAATGAAGTTGAAATTGTGAAAGAAGTTTTCAAGAACTTAAGGAAAAATTGGCGATAACACCAGTACTTACTGTATCTGAAGGAACTGACAATCGAATAATTTACAATGATGCTTCTTAAAATGGGGTGGATTGCGTAAGAGTTATTGCTTATGCATCTTAATAGTTGAAAGATTATGAACACAATTCTCCTACTCATGATTTGGAGTGAGCTGTTATAAGGAAGGAAAAAAAGAGGATAATATGGAGCAACTTGCTATTGCCATGAGGAGGGGGAGTTAAAAAAAAACCAACCATGCATAACATGTTTGGAAAACAGGGAAGGGTTTAGAAAACTTGAACTATTTGAATATATTGGTGGTTTTGTTGATAGTTAAAAGCTATATTTGCATGCTCTAAACATGCATTTTTAGTTGTATGAAATCGATCATGTTTGCATGCTAACGTATCTTAGTCATCCCTATAAGTGCTGCTTAAGAGAATTCAATTGGTAATTACATAGTTGTACATGTTATGTCTGCTTCTATTTTTTGCCCATTCGGTGCTTCAAATCTCCGAAACTTATACTAGTTGGTCCTAATTCAAACCTTATTAGGGTTAATATCAAAATTGGAGCGAATTACCGTCAAACAGTGGTCTAATATAAGAAAAATACACGTACCTAATAGCTTGTGAAAATATACATAAAAATTGCACAAAAATATCACAAGTGGTGGTGCAAATATCACAAGTGGTGGTGCAAGTATACATTGTCATAATATTAAAGTAATAAGTAGAGAATCGAATTGAATCGTTTGAAACTTTTTTTTTTTTTTTTCCTATTACTTTTATTGCTCGAAAATTAAGTGAATTTATGAAAAAATTTATTGAAATAAAAACTTAACCATTGCAAGTAACCATCATTCCATCAACTTCAACAAAATCTTGATTTAAAAAATTGGAGTGTTTTTTTCTCCTCTCCAAACTGATTTAAAATCTCACAATCCATCCTCTTTAGGGTTGTTAGGAATAGGTTAACACGCCCTTTCAAAGGATGTTTCATTCTCCTCTCCAACCAATGTGAGATCTCACCGTTCATCTCCTTTCAGGCGTCATCGTTGGCACTCGTTCCTTTCTCCAATCAATGTATGACCCCTACCAAATCCACCCCCCTTCGGGGCCCAGTATCCTTACTAGCACACCAACTTGTGTCTACCCCCTTCGAAGAACAATCTCTTCACTAGCACATCGTTCGATGTCTTGCTCTGATACCATTTGTAACGCCCCAAGCCCACCACTAGCAGATATTATCCTCTTTAGGCTTTCTTTTTCGATTTTTATAACATGTCTGCAGGAAGAGGTTTCCACACTCTGATAACGAATGTTTCGTTCAATCTCACCATTAGAAAACAAAGATAGCCATTAAAATTTGCATCAGTTTGGGACAAAATAAAACACTTAGCCAATAGGGACCATATAAGTTTGAGATTAGATTATGGGCGAGGCAAAAAGAGGGCAGAAGCACATGCAACTAAAACTGCAATTGCAATGCTCAAAAGAAAATAAAAGATTATATTGAAACCCAAGCAAAGAAAAAAGCAACAACAAAACAACTTTATTGGGAATGTCTCTAATTATGTTATTATTATTTTTCCTTAAAAATTTCCAATATTTTAAATAAAAAAAAAAAAACTCAAATTACTTCGGGTTTACAAACATCCCATGTGCTACTATGACTTTCAATCGTTCTTTATATTTCTCCCTTCAATTATTCTTTATGTCGTTCTATTCCCTCCACTTTATTATAGATGTTCGTTCGTATCTGTTTCAAGGTCGATTTCATTATTATTATTCGGTTTTTTTTTTTATTATAAAAAAGTTTTATTTATATATATATTCTTTTGTAATGTTATGTATTTTTTAGGTATTATTTTATTAATTTTAAGTATTTTAGGAAAGATTTTGAATTGATTAAGATATTCACGGATTTGGGTTTCATTAAATGAATTACAATAAAACATTGTATAAAAGATAATTACAAACATAATATTTTTTTGAAAACTTATTAATTTTAATAATGGTAATCCCTAAGCTTTTATTGCATGTGATGGTTAAGAATGACGTAGGACACCATCAAGATAATTAATTAATTTTAAATTTTCTATTTTATATGAATTCTTTAGATTTGTTGCTATTTATATTTAAATTTGGTGTTGAACTTTGTATAATAATTAATCACAACATAAATACACTCTTTTTTCTTCACATAAGGAGTTTTGTGTCGTTTTCCATTGTTGCTTATGTTGGATCGATATGGCAACCTTAGAGCAGGATGAATAGTATTTTAAATGAGTAATTTCACTATTAAATATGAAAGAGTTAGAGAATATAAACTCACAGTTTTTATAGTGGTTCATACTTCACTCTCCCAGCGCTTCTTGGAAATTTGAATAAAAACCAACTTTTTTCACGTATCATAACAAAACGTTTTTTCTACTAAAAGCAAGCTCAATCCTTTCCACGACTTAGAATAAAAAAGTCACAACTGGGAAATAGATTTATAATTTGAATACTCGTAATAATATATTCACAATACAATAGAAAATTATAAAAAATAAAAATTAGAAACTTGGAGGGTTCAAAAAAAAAAATATATGTGGGTTGATTATAGAGAGGTGGATGAGTTTAAATACAAGGACTGCAAATAAAAATCATAGCGAAATTGGAAATTTTTTTTTTTGATTTAAAATAATAATAGTAATAATGACCAACAGTAAAAAAAAATAAATTTCTTTCCTTGATAATAATGACTAGGGCTGTTTCTTTCTTTAAATAATAATAATAATAACAATATAGTATTTTGAAAGATTTCTTTTATTATAATAATTATTTTTTTAATAATTACCAATCATAACCTGCCATATGGAGTGGTTTCTTTAATTTTAAATTCAAATATTCTAATTCTAATATATTAATATATATACTTAGTTTTTTTTTTTTTTTTAATTTTAAAAACAAGCAAAACCCCTCCCACTCTTATTTTTTCAAACCTCCATGTGTCTTAATTTGATTGGCTTATGATACTAACTATCTTGGTTCAATCTTGGTACACTATGGACACTCCAAAATGAGATTAAAGGGGAAAAAAAAAAGACTAATGGTCTAACCTTTATCTATAGTGGTAGATTATGACACTTGGTGAGTTGGATGAGCTTTTAACATTCACATAGTTCCCATTGGATACTCTTTTATCTATAATGGTAACATTCACATATCTTCATTTACCTCTTATTTCGAGCAAACTCTTGCATGTTGATTGTTTGTGTATTTCGAAAAAGGTTACTCCTCATATAAGAAGATGATTAGCTAGGGTTTTTAATACGTTAATCAATTATAACTTATTCGTTAGGTTCTTTAGAGCTTCTACTTCTATTGGGCCCATGTTTTTGTTCTTCGAATGCAAGTTGCTCATGAATTAGATCATTTTACTTGCTCGTATCGTCGGACGGTGTGCGTGGGGCCAAAGTTGTTTGGTTTGATGTCTTCTTAGTAAGAGTGATTTGTGAATCTAATATACTCCTTTTAGAAATGTTGTTGTTGTCATAACGCTTCTATGGCTTGTTCTAATTCGTTTAAGCTCTTTTTGGGTCGCTAAGATGGAGGTCCATACTTGGTAGGGCGGAGTCTCAGGAGGTATGTCCGTCTCTTTCTTTGTTCCTACATTGTAGGAATATCCTCCCTATTTGGGCTAAGTTTTAGCTACAAAAAAGATTTTGAGAGAAGGTAGAAGGGTTAGGAATCCTGAACTTCTACAATGATATGATATCATCCACTTTGAGTATAAACTATCATGACTTTGTTTTTTATTTTTTGTTTTCCCAAAAGATCTCATAAAAATAGATATGTATTCCAAACTTAAACTCATGATCATCCCCTTAATTAGCCAACGTGAGACTCCCTCCCAACAATCCTCAACAATTCTCCCCTCACACAAAGTACACCATAGAGTCTCCTATGAGGCCTATGAAGCTCTCGAACAACCTTTCATTACTCGAGGCTCGACTCCTTCTCTCAACCCTCCAACAAAATACACTTTTTGTTTGACACTTGAGTCACTTTTGACTACATCTTTGAGATTCATAACTTCTTTGTTCTACACTTGAGGATTCTATTAACCGAGCTATGTTAAGTACATGACTCTGATACTATGTTAGAAATCACAAACCTCTGCAATGGAATGATATTGTCCACTTTAAGCATAAACTCTCATAATTTTACTTTTGGTTAAAGAATTGTTCATTGAAAGATGAAATGATACGCTCTTAACCCAGAGATTAGAGATATAAGACATAGTTCTAAGCTTATATATAAGTTCTCCGGGCTCACTATATAACATCAATTTTAGGATTAAAAAAAAAAAGAGAAAAATAGGAATAAAAAGTTAGAAATCAAACAAAACTATAAATCATTTTTAGTATTATGGTACTAGAATAAGTCCATCATGTTCGAAATAAAATTACAATCCTATTTTTTTTTTTAGAAGTTCACCGTGATATTGATTTATGTAAACACCTCCGATAGGGAGAGGATCCAAAAGCCATCAAAAGACCCCACATAGGTCTCATATTGAAATAAACGATTGAAAGTAAATGATTGAAAGAGTAGGATTGTAACGGGTAGCACAAAAAAAAAAAAAAAAAA